AGAAAGAGAATGTGAAATAATTTGTAAGTCTCTATACAGTAAGACATGTAACATTCAAACCGATAGTATAAGGTAAATTTAGTTGTATAATGACAAATGATTATTTCGAAAGCTAAGTTTGAAACAACAATTGTTAAGGTGTGAACACTTTTTGTAAGCTGTCGTGAGGCATTAGTATCAGGCCTATTATATTTTTAAACGCCGCTTTTTTTTTTTTTTACTTGGACTCTTAGGGATTTTCAAGAGTTGGAAGAAGGTATTGTACCAGTATTTCAACCACACTATATTCACCATATTATTTTATTACAATAGCTAATGTTAGTTTTATATAAAAAAAGATCCCTTATGTGCACTCGTGTTTGTTATACAAGTTCTTCTGCAATGTTTTAGCCAGTGGCTCTCAAAATGGGAGGAGCCCCGTCGGGGGGGGGGGGCAATCCTTGAGGTCCATGAGAAGTTCAGACAAAAAATTACAACAAAATTATTAACTGTATTAAATAACGCATTTATACTAAAATCAATGCAGTCAGCACTCACATGTCAGACTATAAACAATTGTGAGGTGGCCGGATGTTGAAAAGGGTGTGCGGTATACAAAGTTTGAGAACCACAGTTGTAGGCTAAGTTATTCTTTTTTAGTTTAGAATTTTAGACTTGTTTCACGGGAGGATAGGTTAATGTCAAATCATGAGCGCGTGGCCTAACGTCTATAATGTTCTTAGTTTAGAAAACTATTTGAGAGATATAAAAACGCAAGTTACTCTACAGTAAAAAGTTGTTGGTTGATCATTGAGTGAACGAGTCTATTGAGTTTGTGTTTCGTCGAAAAAGTAGAGATAGGTGAAATCAACACTCACTCTGGCGAAGTAACAATACAAACGTCTAATTAAAAAAAATATATATATATATATTAGTTTATGACAGTGTTATATACTTGCTAGCCTAAAATATGCGTTATTTAGCATTACTAATTAGTTTAGTAATGAAAATGATTTTAATGAGAAACTTTAGGCTTACCATAAATTAACAGTATGCAAACAAAATATAACATTCGATGCATACGTGTGCGCGCACGTGCATGAAAAGATACACGTGGTGTGTACATCTGTAAAACGTACATGCAAACGTGCTCAACAGTGAAAGTTGAGACCAACGCTAAACATATACTCCCATTCAATGTAAATAAAGGAAAACGGAAAAGAAGAAGAAGAAAAAAAAAACACCAGTGAAAGATTAAGGTAAAACAGAATATATCCTTGCTGTAGAAGTCTGTTTAATTTAAAGTCCAAAAAATCAATCTGAACAGATGTAGCAACTACTTCCCAAGCCGCTTCATCTTGCAGCAAAGAAAGCACGCTTCTACCTTATTATGCAGGGTGACAATTAGCCCTAGAAAGCAAGTGTTGTAAGACGAAAACGGAATCTTATGTTCTGAATTATGATCTGATTGCGGTTTTACAAAAGAAGAACGCTGCTTGAGTATTTAGTTGTCTAGGATATGCTTAATGTCATACCGCGCTTTGTAAATGTCTCAAATTGCCGATAATAGACGATTTCCATGGGTCAGCGCTTTTCTCTGATTAGCTCGCGAACTCTGCTTTTCTTACATTTTTATCATATAGCTTTTAATACAGAAATCCTGATGTTCATAAAATTAATAATTCTTCCTTCTGCTGTACGTAGAAGAAAGAAAAAGTGTTAATTTTATGATTTATTTGTCCTAGCTACTACTATTTTTTTTAATATATGATTTATAATTACTTACCGTGAGTTTTATTTCTACAAAATCTATCTATATGACAGTCTGTTCATCCATTGACAATTATTTTACATTTAAACACGTAAACATGTTTTTGCGTGTGTGTTAAGCTGTTGTTTATTTACTGCTCTGTATGGCTCGAATCTGAAATTTTACAGTCTACCCAAGAAAACGTGCGTGTTTGTTGCATCACATGAGTTGGCTTTCCACTTTGACAGCCCTAACAAACTCGTTTCACATCGTAATAAACTAAGTACAACTCCCGGGACTGTTGCTTGTTGCCTGCCCTAGTCAAGGTTCCGAGGTGCTTTTAGTTAAGGGTTATAAAAATCACCAATCTCGTGCCGAAAGGTAACGTGTTCGACAAAGCCAACCTCGTCTCTAACCTGCATAAGATAGCCGCCAAGCACTATGAAGAACAAGGGGAACTCTCTCTCTCTCCGTACACACACACACAGACACACAACATTGACCTCTGCAACGAAACAAGTTTATAGATAAGATCACATAATTAAAAAAGAAAGTGTTTACTTAGTTTTATCGTTGCTGTTGTTGTTAATGTTCGTGTTTCGAACTCGTAAACAATTGTTGTGTCAAAGAACTATTTGTCTGATATTTTTCAGTTATGCAAAAAAATATATCTAACTACCCATACACACACACACATACATATATGTGTGTGTGTGTATGTATGTATGTGTATAGAAACAGTGATGTCACGAAAGGCTTTTCTGCACCTACGATTTGTTCATGGCACATAAAATTCCAACACGTAATAGTAACAAGATAAAGAAAAATCCCATTTCGTTTGATAATTGTGCGTATGTTAACTGCAAGATTAGGGTTTGTACATTTGTTTCTGTTGGTTGAAGGAATAGATGTGAATAGTGATTTAAAATATTGGAATCCACACCAACCCCAGAAAAATATATCTATATTTGCTGTATATAAACCCTTGATGTTTCCACACTCCTGAATAGTATTGGAATATAATAGGTGACTTTTTAGTCTGTGTATATTGTGAACATTGAGGTAAAAACGTTTTCCGTTATTATGTCTCAGTTTACATTGTTTCGTTAAATACAACTAGAGCACTATGTGTGTGCGCGCGCGCGAGCACAATAGCCTTCAGCATGATCAAAGCTGTTATCATTGTTGTCCGATGTGAAGTTTGAGCAAACTGGATTCGAGTTGTTAATTGCAACCATTATTGGCCATTTACAATTAATTTATAAGTACATTGATAGATTCACCTGAGTGAGATAAGTGTTCAAAGAAACAACAAAGTAAAATGATGTGCACGTGTTGTTGTAAAATTTCATTGAGCACTGAAATTCAAAGTCAGAGTCCTGGCCCAAGGCAAGGTTTTCTAAGTTAAATACTCTCTCCCAGGCGTCGTTTTAATTTTTTTAACGTCTGAGTCTGGCTAACCATTCGCTTGGTCGTTTAGTCGATACAGTTCAGAAATCTCAACAACATTGACCTCTGCAACGAAACAAGTTTATAGATAATATCATATAATTAAACAAAAAAAAAACGTGTTTAGTTAGTTTTATTGTTGTTGTTGTTGTTAATGTTCGTGTTTTGAACTCGTAAACAATTGTGTATCGTCAAAGAACTATTTGTCTGATATTTTTCAGTTATCAAAGAAAATATATCTGACTACCTACCTACCCTTGTAAGTTGCACAAACATTCTGACGTAACAATAATAGCTACAACATCGAATGAGTTATCGCTTGAAAGATAATTTTATTTGCCATTAAAA